AATCAGAGTCCCCAGAGGTAGGAATATTAAAAATATGTGTTCTGTAAACACCACCAGTCCCTCTCAAAAAGTTTGCAAACCAATGTGTGTTAACAAAAATGTAAATACAACTGGTTTATGAGTCAAGCTCTCACACAAACTAACCTTCTGTGGTTCTTTTAGCATTCTCCTATTGCCACCACCAAACTTGCCCAAGACCCTGAATGCAACATGGGCAATACTATCATGTGGATTGCGAAGAGTTTTCCAAAGTGCCTAGAAATGCCATAAACATAGAAAATACAATGTAATCAGCCAGTGTAGTTACATGCAATGTCTGAACCTTGAGACCTGATTTCTACAAAAATTATAGCATCTTTCAAACAACAAGACAGAAAATCACAATATACAAGTTTGTTGACATACTTGAAACAGTTCTGCCCTGACCGGCTGAATGTGATCGTATAAGAAATCTGGCTGAAGGTTATCAACACACAGCTCCAATGTTCTTAAGCCCTGATGGTATGATAAACACATCACACATTGATTGCTAGCCACTGATAAAAATGTGTGCTAATGATAGACCTCAGAAAAGGTAAAGTAATTGACAAAACTCCATAGCAATCACAACATAAGGTTGTCGATAATGTTTGCATCAGGTAAAAAAGTTAACCACAGCATCAGAGTAAACATTCGAGGAGGTACGTCATGGATGGTGCATCTTGAAAACCAACAACAACAACTTGAAACTACTTCTTTGATCCTTTTCTTCCTTACAAAATGACTATTGTGAGTTTCCTTCACTTTGGATGTAATTTTACACATCACTAAAAATTACTCATTCCAAGAAATTGTGACATAACTCCTTCAATCCTAGTTCAGCTGAAAAATTGGTGGATTAATTGATTAAACTACTCCACAATTAAAATAATATTAAATTCCAGCACACTTTTAGTCCCTCATTGTGAAATTGTGTTTGTAACGTACACAAGGTAATTAGTATTAAAGTCCTTCATATTTACCTGACTGACAAGTGTCTGGGATCCATTCAAAGCAGATACCAGAGGATCCATCAACATGGGTAAATATGGCAACAAAGAGCTGACACAGCAAGAAAACACGGTATTAGAAACTTGAAGGCTCAGTCTGCTCCACAAAAAGCTGTCACCCACTCAACACAAGTTAAAACAAACTGCTGCTTACATGCCAGTCAAACAACACTTTGAACCCTTTTTGTTGTTGTTGTTGTTTTAAATATTCTCCAATATTCTCTACCAAATTAAAGGTTACGAAACATGCAGTTCCAGGTATTATTAACCAGGTTTTATGGCTCTCATTAACCTCATGGGCATGCCTACAACAGGATATCTCCTCACAGCCTTTTCACTCAGTAGGTACTAGGTAGTAATAAGTACTCCATGTGGTAGGAAGCTATTATACTGTACCTCAGTCTGACAGGTACAGTGAGGCACAGCTCCACAAACAGGTCTTTCATATATTGACGATGGATTCCACTTTGAAGATTGTTGAGACCTAAAGGAAACATTAAACTACACCATTAACAAAACTCCAGGGTTTCAGACAGACAGTAGTGGCACTATCCACGTACATGTGTAATTTCAATGCTTACTGGTTCGTGCAACACATTCCTGGCCTCAGCGATTCAAATTTCCCATAATTATGGTTAGGGTGAAAACTGATAACTAACCTTGGAGCAGATTTGGTAACAGGGGCAAAAACTCTTGATACAACAAATCATGACTTCCTGCATAGCAAATGAACAATGCACATGTTTATTTTTTTACAATTAAGTTTTGATACATGTTGACAAAAGAAAATAAAGACAAAAAAATAGACAAAAAAAAAATCAATAGTTTACATGTAATTAAAAGATTTCAAGAGACAAGATGTGAACTGTGCATGCATTAT